GGATGAGATATGGTGGGATGGGACAGGATGGGACATAACAGGATGAGATATGGTGGGATGGGACAGGATGGGATGGGACATGGTGGGATGGGACATGGTGGGACTTAACAGGATGAGACATGATGAGATGGAGATTTGGGATGGAATGGGAAGAAGCATAATAGGATTTGATGGGGTGAGATGAGATGTGGTGAATGGGGAGTTGGATTGGGACAGGATGGGACATGGTAGGATGGGGAGATGGGACAAGATGGAACATGATGGGATGGGGAGCTGGGATGGAGCAGGATGAAAGATAGTGGGTCAGGATGGGATGGGACATAATGGAATGGGACATGGTGGGATGGGACAGGATGGGATGGGATGGAGAGTTGAGATGGGATGGAAATGGAATGGGACATAGTGGGGTGCAATGGGATGAGATACAATGGGATGAGGAGTTGGACTGGGACAAGATGGGACGCAGTGGGATGGAATGCTGTGCCAGAGCCCGGTGCCACCCACAGGCGGGTACCTGGCGCACAGCCTGGCCATCATGACGGACGCAGCCCACCTGCTGACAGACGTGGGCAGCATGGCCGTCAGCCTCTTCTCGCTCTGGGTGTCCACCCGCCCACCCACCGCCACCATGACCTTCGGCTGGCACCGCTCGGGTGAGGGGGGGCTCAGCCCTGGGGCTGCCTGCAGCGAGGGATCCCGCTGACCCCCTCCTGCCCCGCAGAGACGCTGGGCGCGCTGGCCTCCGTGCTGTCCATCTGGGTGGTGACTGCGGTGCTGCTCTACCTGGCGGCCGCCCGCATCCTCAGCGCCGACTACGAGATCGAGGCGCGCACCATGCTGGCCACCTCCGCCTGCGCCGTGGGTGCCAACCTGGTGTACGTCCCCTCCACCCACCCCCAGCCCAAGATGTGCCCCATGGCCCCGGTGCTGAGCGATCTCCTCCCCACAGCATGGCCTACGTCCTGCACCAGGGCCACGGGCACGGCGTGGGGGGCTATGAGCAGCTGGAGGGGGGCTGCCTGCCCAGTGCCCCCCTGCCCGGCAGCACCAGCGTCCGTGCCGCCTTTGTGCATGTGGTGGGGGACCTGCTGCAGAGCGTCGGCGTCCTGCTGGCCGCCACCATCATCTACTTCAAGGTGTGGGGCTGGGCTCTGCCCTACATGGGGGGCAGCGCAGCCCCGCAGCCTCACGCCATTCCTCCCCCCTCCTTCTGCAGCCCCAGTGCAAGATCGCAGACCCCATCAGCACCCTCTTCTTCTCTGTCTTCGTCCTGGGCTCCACCGTCACCATCCTCAGGGACGTCTTCAGGGTTCTCATGGAAGGTGAGGGGACTTGAGGGCTGCAGCCCCCACCCTACAGCCCTTCCCTGTCCCTCCCAGCCCTATGGGGAGCAGCTGTCCCCATCCCAGCCCCAAATGGAGGAAGGGGCTGTGGGTGACCCCTTGGCGCAGGAGCCCCACGGGGAATGGCAGTGACTGCAGTGACGGAGGAGCTGCTGGCGGTCAGCGGGGTGAGGGCCATCCATGACCTACACGTGTGGGCGCTGACGCCGAGCCACCCCCTGGTATCAGTGCACGTGGCTGTGGGTAAGTGCCCCACACGCTGCTCACACCCCATGGCACAGCCAAGGCCCGTGGGGCTGAGTCACAGTGCCCACCACCCACAGATGCCACCGCTGACCCTGAGACGGTGCTGCAGGATGCCACGGTGCGGCTGCAGCAGAAGTTTGGCTTCACTGTGTGCACGGTGCAGGTGGAACGGTACCTAGAGGCAGCAGGGGGCTGCCCACATGGCCACAGCCCTCTAGCATGAGCCCCCACCTGCTGTGGGGCTGTGGCAGTGCCTGGGGGCCACAGCTGCACCCTCCCCCCACTGCTGCCCCCGCTGTGGGGCAGGGAGCAGGGCAGCGGGGAGCTGGAGCTTGGCCCATTCCTCTCTTTGTGTGTCAGTGTCTGTGTCTGTCTGTGTTCGTCCTGTCGTGCGGGGCTGCAGCCCCAATAAAGGTGTTGGAGAGCAGCCGAGGGCTCAGCACAGGGGAACTCCAATGACACCGCCATTACAAAACGCACCACTTTACTGCACTGCTGCCACCACAGCTCAATGTGAGCGATTCCAGAGCCCCCGGCACCGGGGGGGGGGGAGGGGGGGAGCACAAGCGCAGCCCCACGCACAGCCTCAGCCCAAGGCAGGGACACAGCAGCGATCCCACTGCCCGCCCTGCACCAGCACAAAGCGCAGAGCACAGCACAGAGCCCTCTGGGCCCCAGGGGGACAGTGGGAGCACTGGGTCCCCGGGGAAGGAGCACCAAGGGGGGCACGGAGCCCCCACAGCCGCAGCGAGGGGCCGGGGTTACTCGGAGGGGGGGCTCACAGGAATGCCAGGGTGGGAGCTGTAACGGGCACGGCTCTGCGGCAGCAGCTGTGGGTCCACAGCAGCTGCCAGCCCCGCCAGGCAGTGCAGGCGCACGATGCCTGCCTGTCCCCCCGACACCAGCCAGCCACACGCCTCCAGGTTGGGGCTAAAGCGCACCTGCAGGAAGGGGTTGTCAGAAGGGTGGGGAGGGGGCCCCACACCCTGGAGGCGGGACAGGGAGCTGGGCTGGGTGGGGGGGCTGCCTCACCTTGTGTAGGGCTTCCAGCTGCAAGCGGTCGAGGCTCAGCTCTGCTTTCCCCTCTTGTTTGTGCATCCGGCGCATGGGCTCACGGCTGGGGAAGTTCTTGAAGCTGCGCTGTGGGGGGGTTGGGGGAAGGCAGGCAGTGGGCACACTATGAGGTGCAGGGGGTGGCACCCCCACACCCTGCCATAGCCCCCAGGCTCTATCCTGGTGCTGGGTGAACTGTCCCCATCCCACACCTCACTCCTCAGAGGTCTGTTCTGCCCCATACTCACAGCTCTAAGACTGAGCAAGGGGTGGAAGCCACACCATCACCCCCAGTCCCACTGTTCCCAGCTAGGAGGGTCCATCTCCCCCCCATCCTTCATACCAGATCGGTGTCCCGGAACCGCACGTAGGCTGTGGCCACCATCTCGCTGTATTGCCGGGTCCTGGGCAGCACTGGCTCACTGCTCCCTGGCACTGCAGTGCTGCAGGGCAGCAGGTCAGCTTTGTACACCGGCTGGGGAAGAGAGGAGGCTGAGGGGCAGGTCCATATCCCTCTGAAGGGACTATGCCCAACTCTGAGGCACCTCAGGCCGAAGGGCAGAGGACAGGGCGAGGAACCCAGCCCCAAAGTCTCATTGCAGTGCCCAGACAGGAACACAGAGCAGCACTTTTCCATTGATGCAACTGCCCCCCAGTCCCTTAGTGCCTTACAAATCTGCGGTCCGAGGAGCGCTTGACATTGAGTGGGTTGACAGCCAGGTCGGGCAGCACCGCAGCCACCAGCTCGCCTGTGATGTCCCCAGCAGCCACCGTGTTCAGCCAGTCCGAGCCTGAGATGCTCTGTGGGAACAGAGGAGCTGGGAAGCAGCTCCCAGCAGTGATGGTGCCATGCCCCAGTGACCCGTGGGATTGCTCCACAGGACGGAGCCGTGTCTGCCCCTTACCCACACAGTCCCCTTGCGAGGGGCCACAAAATACGCCTTGTAGCCCAGGTACCCAGCGTCGATGTAGTGGATCCCACAGAGACCATAACTGCAACAGAAAAGGGTGAGGGCCGAGCTCAGAGCACAGCTATGTCCCAGCCTTCCTGCCCTCAGCGCGTTGCCTCTTGGAGTGCAGGAGCCCACCCATCTTCTGGAGAGCCCCCAGCACTCACGAGGCATAGCAGTTGTCCTGGGCCACGGTGACACCGTTGTAGGGCAGCAGCCAGGCCACCTCAGTGCTGAGGAAACGCTTGATGCTGTTGATGGGTTCGTAGAGGCGCCGCAGATCCCAGAATTTGATCTTTCGGTCGTTCCCTACCGTGACCAGGAAGTTGCTGAGAACCAGGAGAGAGGCGGCACTGAGACCCCAGGGCTGAGCTGTGCCATCAGCTGCACGCCACAGGGCCCTCACCCCAAAACCATCCAGCGTCTCAGGCACTGTTAGCCCTGAGCCCAGCAGCAGGAGCAAGTCCCCAGCCAGTAGCAGCTCTCACCTGTTGGCTTTGCACCACTCGATGCTGCGCACGGCGTGGTCGTGGGCCAGGAAGCACTGAAAAGGGTACAGCTGGAGGGAGCCGTCGGCGTGGGACACGCGCTGCAGTGGGGATGCGGTCAGCAGGTTCCAGATGGCCACTGTGCCTGCAGGCAGAGGTGTGCTGCTGTGGTGAGCCACCCTAGCACCAAAGGTTGAAGCACAAAGGGCAAGAGCTGCTCCCTGAAAGCAGGGACTCACCATCATAAAATCCCGCCGCCAGGTGCTGGTGGGGCCGGGAGGGCATCCAGGAGAGGCTGAAGCACTGCCCACATTCGGTTGCGCTCCCTGCCTGGATGGAGCCCACCTGCAGTGTGGTGGTATGCTGCACCTGCAGCGAGAAAGGACAGAGGTAAGGCCGTGTTCCAGCACTGCCTATCTTGGGAGTGGGAAACACACAGGGGTGGGAGCACGGTGCTGGGGGCAGCAAGCTCTGCAGGCTTCCTGGTGCCCCTCAGCTCTCTGCCTGCAGCAGGCAGGAGGCACGTTGGGACAGCAGCAGGGACACTGACCTTGCAGATCATGTGCTTGTGGGGGGACCCATCTGGAAGAGAGCAGAGGGAGGTCAGGGCAGGAACTTCTGGCAGCTTTGAGCTTGGCACAGCGCTCCCATGTCCCTGCCCATCCTGCTCAGAGCAACGTCCCCACACAGCCCAGCACTGCTCTCCAGCACCCCAATGTCACACACACACACCGAGGTGCCCGCAGGATCCCCAGCACCAGCTCACAGCCCCTCCAGCAGCACCACGAGTGCCGGGGGAGGACAACGAGCTCCATGCGCTGCGCTCAGTAGGAATCCAGGCACGTCAGCACCCCGCGCACCGCAGCGGAGGCGGGAAGATGCAGAGAGCCATGCATCATCCCCGGCACCGCAATCACTGCGGGGTCACAGAGGTGGGAGCACCGAGGCCCCGCACTGCACCAAGCCCACGGCAGCAAATCGACGCCGGCATCCGACGCGACGCGCAAGGATGGGACGTGATGCCGCAGCACGGCCGCACCCGGCTGCTCCGTGGGAGAGCTGCAGGCTGGGGAAGGATCCAACCCAGCCCACGTGGGGCTGCGGCAGCAGCGCAACCCATCCGGAACCAGAGCACGGATTGGGGCTGGAGACACGGGAAACCCATTTCCCATTGTCGGAGGCGAGCGGATGGATGGGGGCTGTCAGCTGCGGCTGAGCGGCCACGAGCAGCTCATCAATCTCACGCGGCTGCCGGCAGATGGGAGCATTACAAGGACCATTGGGCAGCGCCAGACCTGATCGGAGCTCCGATCCCAGCCACAACGTGCAGCTGCCAGCCAGGAGCAAGGAACACGCAGCTCTGCTTCAACGCGGCTGCAGCCACGCTCCAGCTCCAGGCTTCCCAAAACTCTGGGCACAAAGGGATGAGGGCGGCGTGGCTCTTCCTACCTTTTACCTGGGTTCTCGTGCAGCTCTGCAGTGCGCCAGGGTGTGGGAGGGCGTACAGCACCACGCTGCCATCTGAGAAAGCAGCAGCCAGGAGGCCAAGCCGGCTCATCTGTGGGTGCTGTGGGACAGGCACAGGCTCTCAGCCTACCCCTGGTTTTTGAAAGGAGCCTCGGGATCACCACGTTCTGCCCAGAGAAGGCAGTGTTTTGGCAGACACAAGCAGGGAAAACCCAAGGCCAGCCTGCACACCCACCTTTGAGGAGCTGCTAGGAGGCTCCCAAGCGCCGCTGGGGCAGAACTTCATGTCCCAGACACAGCCATGATCAGCAGCGATGGCGTAGGCCAGTCCAGCTCTGTCAGCAGAGCTGTAGGTGGAACCGGGAAAAACGCTGGAGCTGGAGAGCAGCAGCCCCACCACTGGGACACAACAGCCCCATGCTGTCCCATCTTCACCACTCACCCCTCCTGCAGCGTGCCCAGGCCCCAGAGCTGCAGCAGTGCGGGGCCCTGGTGCAGCCCCACCACACTGTGAGTTTCCTCCATGGTTCTGTGGCAGTACAGAGCCACGTACTGCGCGGCCGCTGCACCCTCCGGCGTCGGGCACCACTCCATGGCCCAGATGGGGCCGCCCACAAAGAAGGCTGCGTCCCGGCGCTCCTCGTGGGGCTGCAGGGAGCTGAATCTGTGGCAAGGAAGGGTCAGGGCACCAGGCAACAGGGGCTGCATGTGGCAGGACCCCAAGATTACCCACTGACCTGTTTAACCTGTATAAAGCACCGCCATCCTCAAGGCCCTCCCGCTGGATGGAGAAAAGTGGAGACTTCTCCTCCACCGGCAGGTATGGGGCAGCTTCACTGGGGAGGAATGAGCGTGAAAGGTGCATCCTGCCCCTAACAGGGGGTGATCTATGCCAGAGCTGCCCCCCAGCATTGTGTCCCCACACCCAGCCCCTGCCACTGCTGCCCACAGTACCTTTCAGAGAGACACGTCCAGTTCCGTGCCAAAGGGATCCAGTCAGGGAATTCCCACTGCGAGTGCACCTGCTCCCGCCTGCAGGGGATGCCACAGACATCAGCACAGACTATGCTGGGCCCAGCAGCTGGGTCCTGCCCCACATGTGGCCCCTGGGAGGCTGCCCAGATGTGAGGATGCCCCCATGCTGTACCTATGCCTACAGTGCTTCACAGGATGCCCCCACGGCCCTCCCACCCCCACTCACAGGCTGCAGGTGAGGCTGGAGCATTTCTCCACTGGGGCCATGATGGAATTGTGGAAGCCATTGGG